GTTAAGATTATCGTACATCGTAAAACAAACAGCGGTTTCTCAAATCATCCATACAAATCGTTTCTCAAAATTAATTATTTAGCAAAATAAACGTATTTTATTTTTTATTTCTGGGTACCAATTAATAGTACACAATGAAAGTAAATCATTTTCTACATATAATTAAAGATGAGAATCTTTAATCAGAAACAACAACTAATTGTTACTGCTGAAAAACAGTAAAGGTTGAAAACTATACAGTTAGCAACAGTTACAAAATCAATGCTTCCTAAAGAATTTTTTGATATTTCCCAAATAAATACAACAGTGATTTCAGAAAACTATTGATCGGGATTTAAAAATGCCACGACAGACAGGGCACAGTTTGTATGGATTGTTTTTTTGACTTCAAATATGACAAATGCACATACATACACTAAACACGCATGCAGATATACCACTTCCTTACTTTTTTTTTTTTGATTCTATTAATACAGTTCATACAGCTAATATCTTTTCAGACGTTTATTATTCCACTATAGCAATTCACATAATTAAAACTGATAAAATTATCACATAATTATAGGCTAATTATCCCGAATAAAACTGAAAACACTAATAATTTTTTAAACTATTCTTTTACAGTGATCTTTACGCATACTGATTAACTGTCAGTGTGTATTATTTATTCCACCAAATGAGACAATGTGTCGATGTGCAAAAATAATACCAATAGTTATCGTGTCGGCTTAAATGTCTAGCGCAAAAAATTTTTTTGCTCTCCAACAGTAACTATACAGATGAGATGTCTGAAAATGTTAACCATCGCATAATTTATATTGAAATTTATTGATATTTAGTACATGAAGAGGTTTACAGCTACAATATAACATTTTTAATTTATATATGCATAAATATACATAGACAAAAATATATATAATTAGCGTAAGAGCTTCAAACTGAATAGAATTTCTGTTTTTCAAAATATTCTGTGATTACTAAATTTACCAATTTTATAATACTGCATAAATACCCAGTAAAAAATTTGCTCATATTGTTACAATTTAAAGTAATTTTTTCTTGTTGCAATAGCAGTATGATTGAATTTTAAAAGCGTAATTAGGTTCTGCTGTTGATCAGCTTCTAAAACTGTCTTCAATTTTGGCAGGCAATAAAGCGACTTTTTAGACGTTATGCATTACAACAAAACAAAAAAAAATTTTTTTTTTTTTGAAACACTATAAAGTTTTTTTGGTATATTATAAAATTTAAAGCTTAACAAAAAAACTAATCTGTGTTCAAACACCATGACAATCCACCTCGTAAACTGCTTCTTTTTTCTATTTTTAAAGGTTGATCAAGTGATACAGAAAAGTTTCAAATTATAAATTTATTGGCAATATCTCGATTCAACCTGACAGCTAATTTGTATGACAATTATTTTTGGTTGACAATTGTTGAAAAGGTTTTTATCACTTATCTTTTATTCTTTTTTTTGTTCATTTATTTGTTTTTCTTCTGACAAAGATAGTAACAATTTTTATTTTGCTCGACCATTAAAAATACTTTATAGCTGTAGGTTCCTTTCGTTTTTCCTTCTTTTTTTTCTTCTAATTTTTGATCATAAATGTTTTACAGAAAATGATCTGATCATCGTTACAACTTAAAACTTCTGCCTCTCAATAAAGTTTGATGCACAAGAAACCTATAAGCAAATTTTTTCAGAACGGAACTTGGCTCTTCACATAATGTTGATTTCAACCTATTAAGTTTAAACCTAACAGAGCAAAAGTTTACGTCAAATAACTGCTATTCTCTTTGGTTACTTAAAAAGAATGTGCTTAAAAGCAAATACCAGCAGTAAAGTTGGTTTAAAACATTAATCGAAAGTCT